TATTGGCTGTGGGTTTGCTGTAGTTGGCCTCTATCAGTTTAAGAAATGTCCCTTCTATACCAATTTTCTTAAGTGTTCTGATCATGAAAGGATGCTGGATATTATCAAAAGCCTCTTCTGCATCAATTGAGAGAATCATATGGTCTTTGTTTTTTAATTTGTCTATGTGATGAATTATAGTTATAGATCTACATATATTGAACCAGCCTTGAGACTCTGGGATAAAACCCACTTGATCATGGTGCATAATTTGTTTAATGTGTTGCTGGATTCTGTTTGCTAGGATCTTGTTGAATATTTTTGCATCAATATTCATTAGTGATATTAGTCTGTAAGTTTCTTTTCTTGTTGGGTCTTTTCCTGGTTTGGGGATCAAGGTGATTGTTTGCTTCATAGAATGTGTTGCATAGTGTTCCTCCTTTTTCTATATTTTGGAAAAGGTTGAGTAACATAGGTACTAATTCTTCTTTAAAGGTTTGGTAGAATTCTGATGTGAAGCCATCTGGTTCTGGGCTTTTGTTTAAGGGAGATTTTGTATGGTTGATGCTATTTCAGAACTTGATATAGGACTGTTCAACATTTCCACTTCATTCTGGCTAAGTCTAGGAAGGCCTAACCCACTTTTTAATGGAGTTATTTTTTTTTCTTGTTCAATTGTTTGAGTTCCTTGTATATTCTGCATATTAGTCTTTTGTTGGATGCATAGTCTGTGAATATTTTCTCCTATTCTGTAGGTTGTCTGTTGATTATTTCTTTTGCTGTGCAGAAGATTTTAAGTTTAAATCCCATTTGTTTTTGTTGCATTTGCTTTTAGGGTCTTAATCATAAAATTTTGGCCTAGACTAATGTCTGACAGATTTTCCTAGGTTTTCTTCTAGAACTTCTATAGTTTCAGCTCTTACATTTAACCCTTTAATCCATCTTGAGTTAATTTGGGTATGGTGAGATAGGGATTCACCTTCATTCTTCTGGATATGGTTATCCAGTTTTCCCAGCATCAGGTATTGACTAGGCTGTCCTTTCCCCAGTATATGTTTTTGTCTGTGTTGTCAAACATCAGTTTGTTGTAGGTGTGTGGCTTTATTTCTGGGTTCTCTACACTGTTCCACTGATCTATTTTTATACCTGTACCATGCTGTTTTGGTTATTGTAGCCTTGTAGTATAGTTTGAAGTCAGGCAATATGGTGCCTCTTGCTTTGTTGTTGTACTTATAATTGCTTTGGCTATTCGGACTTCTGTTTTTTGTTCTATATGAATTTTAGAATTGCTTCATCTAATTCTGTGAGAAATGATATTGGTATTTTGATAGGAATTATATTAACTCTGTAGCTTGCTTTGGGCAGTACTTCACCTAATTACAAATTCCAAAAAAAATTTTTTTTTTAAAGGGCAGAAAAGATCCATTTAAATGTCTCTAACAGCATTTGTTTGTAAATAATCAGACTCAATTTTACCTGGTCATTAACACACAGCCATAAATAGAAGACAACTTTGTGAGCAAAATGTGATCTTAAGGTATTATTTCCCCAGATTGCCTTAAATCTATGTTAACACTTACTCATCTGAAAGAAATGCAAGCAGAATTTCCTGATTGTTGACTCTTATTTCCATCCTTCCATGCATTAACACACCTTCCCTCCTCTAAAAGCCAAATTTGGAGGAATACTTGTACCACCAGCTCATCATGGGCTTATCTCTAGTGATTATTGAGAAAACTGCACTGTTAATTATTTTAAATGTGTGATATGCTTTGCATATGAGCTGGTTATAAAAACTGATTCCTTTTGTTGTTTTCTAGTTTTGTTGTGGTTCTTTGAAAGGAGCAACTTCTAAGTTGAAGCTCAGACATCTCCCAGTTCCTCATCCTCTGTCCAGATGCTTTCAATGACATTTTGGGGTGGGTAGGGGGACCTGTTGGGGCCATCAGCAGCCTCCCTGTTGTGTCAATTGCTTGTGCTCTGTACCTGGCTCTGCTCTTGACTTCCACCCAGAGGAAGTCCCTGTCTCATCTGTTTCCACGTCTGTAACATGGAGCGGTAACACTGGTAGTACCCACATATGGGTCTTCCTGTGTTACCACCTTTAGTCTTGGGGTCTCCTTTCCTCTGCTCTGATTGGTATCAGGAGTCCTCTGCCATCCATCTGCTCAGTCCCTTCCCCCAGGCTCTGTCTTATTTTGACACTCCCAGTCCCCATCCAAATCCCACTTCCTCCACTATAAAATGAAGTGTATTACATTCCTTTGATATTTGCATTTGAAAGTTTTATCAAAACAGAAGTCTTTTTACAGGTGTACATACCCATCAGAATATAGAATATTTCCATTAGCCCATAAATTTCTCTGGTGCTTCTTTCCTTTTTTCCTCCACTGATCATTAGCTTTACTTGTTCTCTAAAGGTAAACTACAGCCTATGGACCGGTGGCCTGTTTTTGTACAAGTAAGTAAAATTTTATCGGAACAGAGCCACAACCATACATGTGCATATGGTTTCTGGCTGTTTTCATATCACATTGGCCAATTTGGGTAGTCATTACAGAGACTACATAGCACACAAGGCTGAAAGTATTTGCTGTCTGGTCCTTTAAGAAAAACCCTGCTGAATCTAGAACTTAATCTACATGGAATCACACAGTGTGTGCTCTGTATATGTGGTTTCTTTCTCTGAATATACTTTGGTATTTATTCATTTGGTTAAAAAATAGATTTAGAGAGTTGTTTTTTTTTTTAAATAAAGAGACAGGACCTTGCTGGAGTGCAGTGGCATGATCATAGCTCACTGTAGCCTTGAATTCCTGGGCTCAAGTGATCCTCTCACTTTAGCCTCCCAGGTAACTAGGATGAAAGGCATGTGCTACGTAGCCTAGCTTTGCTTTTCCTTTCCTTCCCTTTCCCTTTCCCTTTTCCTTTCCTCTTTTAGATCTCACTGTGTTGCCCAGGCTTAGTCTCAAACTCCTGGCCTCAAGTGATCCTCCTTCTTTGGTCTCCCAAAGTGCTGGAGATCTACAGGATTTTGTTCATTAACTTAAATATTCATCAAGCCCCTATTGTATTCTGGGCAGTGTGTTAGCTGGTCAGGATGTAGTGGTCAGTAAAACAGGTCCAATTCCTGCTTAAAGGAGCCAAGCAAGTTGGCAGCACATGTAGTCAAGATTGGCTAGCCTAGAAATGAGGGGTTATCTACAGGGGCACATGGATCCAGGAAGGTGGACTTTGTTAATTGTGGTAAAATAGATGTAGCACAAAAATTCGCCATTTTAACTGTTTGAAGTGTACAGTTTAATGGCATTCAATGCATTCACAGTGTTGTGCAATCATCACTACTGTCCATTTCCATAACTTTTTCTTCATTCCAAACAGATTTGTACCCATTAAAATATCTCCGCCGTTGTTCTCTAGTAAGTTGCCAAAAGACAAGGAAATATTAATGGTGGTAGATGGTCTTATAGGATTGACAGAGGAAAAATGAGAGGGGTTCCTTTTAGTGGCTTCCATCCATTGGGGTTATTGCAGAGTGAGGAAAAATCAGGGAGCTGCAGAGGTCTGAATGGGACAATGAACCTTCCAGAGACAAGGTGAAATCACCAGGAAAGTTATGATGGCCATTTTGAACTTTGAGTTCATGATTTTAAGTTGAAACAAGTCTGCTTCATGGTGGTTACTTCTCTCCAGCAATGTCCACCCCAGGGCCTTTCCAGTGGGCTGTTTCTATCTACATCTGTCTTCCCCCACCTTCCTACTTTCCTTTCTCTCTTCCCACATCCACTGCCAGAGTCTTCTTCTTTGTTGTTCCAGACTTACTGGAAAGATTTCTCCAGATCTGAAGAATATGGCCATGGTCAGGGGGCTCTGTACTGAGGCTCAGCACCACAGACATCACACCAGCCCTTAAGCCCTATCTCATTCCTCAACCTGTCCCTTTTCTTTGAATGCTCCTAGAATGTGAACTCTGCAGTGGCAAGGTCAATTCTGTCTTGTTTAATAACTTATCTCCAATGCCAAACCCTGTGCCCGAGACAGTGGGATACTGGATTAATTTTTGTCAAGTGGGTATGTTAATATTTGTAAAGTGGATAAATCAAAAGTATGCACAGGTTACCAGGTACTCCTTACTGGTCTCAAAGGCTCCTTAAAATCTGCCTGCTTTCTCACCTCTTTTGTGCCCTCATAAAGAAGTTCAATGAGACGCCATGTCTGACTGAAGTTGGCAAAAGTGGAGTCTTTAGTGTGTAAAGAACTAGACTCCAGACACCTGGGCTGAAACCAGCCTTGTCAATGGCAGCGCTGTGATTTGGGTGAAGTCGCCTCTCTCTGAGTCTCAATTTCCCATCTCTAATGAGGGGATCATAGTTTCTATTCCTCAAGAAAGTTTTAAGGAGTCGATGCAATAACTGACTGCACAGGGTTTGGACAGAGTGGGTGTTCACTGTTATTTTGCAGCCCAAGTTCATGGCTTCAGTTTTTCCATTTTGCAAAGTGGAAATGTGAAATGAATACCAGGTCAGTGTGGGCTGAGGAATTTGCTGTTGTGACAGTCCCCAGGTCAGAGCAGTTTGTCCATTAGGCACCCAGGGATCCCCCTCCAGCCCTTGTAACTTGTTCACAGGTACTCCTAACCTTGAGCAGGTTCTCTGATTTTTCCATATCTTCCTCTAGTTTCCTCTTCATGTTCTTTAGCTCGTCTTTCTCCCATGTAAGCATTCTGTCTGCCCTGTCAGGGATCTAGGAGACAAGGAGAGAATCTCACACGCTCAGGAGAGGGCTGGAGAGAGGTTTCTCATTTCGGGGTAGGAGAGGTTTTGTCAACCTCATAAACTCTAGGTTTGGAGGAAGAAGTTGGGGATACTGTCATCCTTTGGGCCTCTCTTTGCTTTTAGGGGCTTTTTTGGGGGGGAGGTCTGACTGTCTGGTTTGGGGCTTTGCATTTCTCCCTTTTACCAGTAGGAACCACGTGGGTTGGGATGGAGGTGACTCAACTTGGGCAGCGGGGAGGTGGTGGGGTTGTTCTTACTTTCTGTGGCTGGGCCTGGGCACCTCTTTCTCGGTAATGAGCCTATCTCTTTCTCCCTAGCTAGAGATGGAGAGATCTCATCACTGGGATGAGGGCTTGCTTTTTGGGTGGCTTACTATTTGGATCTAGGGGCTGGGAGTAGGACACTCACCCACTGGGATCTCATCTCTTCCTAGGGAGGCTGGAATGTTCCCAGCTTTTGGGGTTCACTTTAGGAGGAGGATTTCATCAGGAGTGGGAGTAGGGTTCTTGCCCTTTCTCCCTGGCCAGGGTTTAACTCCCTGGTTTGAAGGCTGGAGTCTGAAGTCTCACTCTGTAGGCAGGACTTGTTTTTCTCATCTGAGGCCTGGAAAGGTTTCTCCCTTCCTGAGGCTAGGGTATTGGGTTTTATTTCACATTTTGGAAGGTTTTATCTTGGTGGGGACCCAGGGCATCAGCTACTTCCCTTAACTGGGAGTTGGGAATCTGTTTTCACTAAGATTGGGGCATTAGGGTCTCCCCCTGTGAGCTTGGGAGCTGGATGGGTGATTTTAAGCCTGGACTGAGGGCTGTGGGTTTTACTTTTCGGGAAGACTTTCCAGAGTCTGACTTAGGAGTCCCATCTTCTCTCCCTGGCTGGGAGATTGGGATGGTTTCTTCTGCTGTGCCAAGGGATAGCAAGATCTTATCCTCTTGGGTAGGTTTCACCCTCTGGGATTTGAGGGCTTAGGCACCTCATCCTAGGCGTGCCTTCATTTCTTGTGCCCTGGTTCACTGGAGTTAGGACCTAAGAGGTGTTGCCCTTATGGGGAAGGTTTCTCCCAGGGTGAACACCCAGTAGCAGAGGAGGCCTCAGTCTTTGCGTCTAGGCTTGGGAGGTTGGGGGAGACCCCACCTTCTCAGATTCCGGCCTGTAGCCTCGCAGCTTGACGCTCTGCTGGTTGATAAGCAGGCCCTTGCGCACTTCACTGAGCCTGTGATCAGTAGTCTCGCGCTGGCGCTGCAGCAGCCGCACCTGCCCATTCATCTGGTGCTGCGCGCGGCTGAGGCGGGCGGCGGTGAGGCGCGACCCGCGCGCGTGCGCTTGTACCACCTCCGCCGTTTGTAGGGCGCGCGCATCGCGGTGCAGCGGCATCGGCAGGCGGGCATACCAGGCGGGTGGCTTCATCTTGCCCTTCCACAGCGTAACTCCCTCGCCCGGCGGCGGCTTCTCCACGTGGCCTCCACCTTTGATCATCTCCACGCGGAAGCGCCAGGGCTCTATGTAGGCAGCACGGCAGAGGTGGCGCGCCACGTGCGGGTCCCACACGCTGTCCTCGGGCTGCCACATGGCCACTGCCTCCTGCCCGCAGCGCTCGGTCACACGGTGCGCATTCCTCGTCTTGGCCCATGTTGCCTGGCGCCATTCTGGGGCTCCGACGCGCGGTTCCTGGCTTCGCTCACCCGGGGTTGCCAATACTGGCATGGTCCCTGCTTGGTGTCCCACAGTGGCCTGGGATCCCCACGCAGAGGAGCAGAGACCTCTCCAACCACACACAATTCTTTCCTGTTCTGTAGAGTGAACTGAAAGCGCTCATCGCCATGGCGACGGGGACAAGAAGAAAGAGAGAATTCTAGAAGTGCGGGAGGGGTGGGACAGAGCCTTTGCTTTGGAACCTGGCCTTTGTGCTTTGGAATTCTGACTCCTCCAGCACGTCCTCATGCAGCAGCCCTCCACCACTATGGCCCTTCTTCCAGCTCTTAGAACATCCCGAGTGCTTTCCCATTTTCAAAGCTTTAAACTTGCCGTTGCCTGTGCACGGAATACTCCTTTCCATGTCCTTCGCACTACTGGTTCCTTTTTAATCTTCAGATTTTCCCTGAATGGGTTCTCGGTGTTTGTCAGGGAAGTCACAAATCCTAGGTTTTCCTTGCCTACTTAAAAGGAGCTCTTATAACCCAGCAACAGCCTTACTGCACAACAGCGCACAGAAACCAGTTCTATGACATTGGTTTTTGAGGAAAGAACCTCATTGCAAGTCGACTGGCAAAGAGACAGAAGACAACACTCAAATGACTTCCCAGTCTGGAGGGGTGGATGGATCGAACTTTTAAGCGTTCTTAACTAGCCCCAGGTGATGCCAATGCAATGGCTGTGCCAGGCTGCTGGTGGTGACAATTAGGAGGTTAAGGCTTTCTCCCATTGCACACGCAGGGGTTACACGACTTGCAATTTTAGCTCTGTGCCATCTGTAGCAACTTGAGCAATTGTTAAGTCGTTAGTCAGTCCCAAGGTTAGGTTCTCTTAGTCTTACGGATCCTTTACTGTATCCACTCACCACTATCTGAAGGTATCTTAGCCATTTATTTGTTTACTTTTAAATTTTTGGTCACCTCTTGCCTGCCCTAGAAGAATCTAAGAAACTTGAGATTAGGAACTGTACAGCTGACACCACATAGTGGGTCCTCAACGCACGTGAAGTGAAGAAATAGATAGCAGCAATCACATGCTATGACTGTTTTATGTTTCTATTTTTGAAGTGAAATTTTCATAAATAAAATGAATGATTCTAAGGTGTCAACTCGGAGGCATGTGTACAACCACCACTTGTTTCTAATGTTCTAAAACACTGTCATCACCCCCAAATAAAACCTCAACCATGAGCAATCACTCCCATTCTCCTGTGCCCTCAGCTCCTAGTAACCACTCATCGGTTCTTCTGTCTGTATGAATTTGCATATTTTTGACATTTCATATAAATAGCCTTATGTGATATGTCACCTCTCATGTCTGGCTTATTTCACTTAGGATAGTTTTCAAGCTGCTTCTACACCATAGCATGGACTAGTGCTTCATTCCTTTAACGGCTGAGTACTATTCCATTGTGTTGTTTATTATATATACCATAATTTTTTTTATCTCTCCAGTCAGTGATGGACATTTTGTATTTCACTCATCTCCTATGTCTGTCTTCCCCAATAGACTGTGAGCTTCGTGAAGGCATTGACTTTGCTCTCTTACATACCACCATATCCTCACCCCTAGCACCCTGCAGAGATAGTCTCATAGCAGGCACTCAATAAATATTTATGAAATGAGTATATGAGTGGAGGAATGAATAAATGTTTTCTTGTTGAGTAAATGGGAAATGCAAAAATAAAAAAAGGAATGAATGACTCTGGCTTCGTAAGGAAAGGCTCATTCAGTCATGGGAAGGAACAAGATGGACACGCAAAGGCTCCTAGGTCAGCCATACAGGAGACTCACCATTATGTTCTTTTGTGTTACCAGGAAGAGATGGGACAGTCTTGTTTCAAAGATTTGGGAGGATGTGGGTTTAGCACTGTTGTTAGCTTCTGGGACCAGTGTGGTATCTGACTCAACAAATCTGTAGGAAAGTCAAAATAGTGTCATGGTCAGTATCCTGGAACCTGATGACCTGGGGTTCAAGTTATGAATGATTCTAACAGTTACTGTCTGTGTGACCTTGGGAAATTCACTTAATTTCTCTGCGCTGCATTTCTTCATCTGTCAATTAGGATAATAAAATAGTGGCATAAGCCAGGTGAGGTGGCTCATGCCTGTAATCCTAGTACTCTGGAAGGTCAAGGTGGGTGTATTGCTTAAGCTCAGGGGTTTGAGAACAGCCTGAGCAAGAGTGAGACCCCATCTCTACTAAAAATAGAAAAACTGAGGCAAGAAGATCACTTGAGCCCAGGAGTTTGAGGTTGCTGTGAGCTATGATGCCATGACACTCTACCCAGGGCAACATAGTGTGATGGCCAATATTTTGGAACCAGATACTGGTTGACATTCTTGTTTCAAAAAAAAAAAAAGAAGATTGTGGCATGGATGAAATTTGTTAATATGAGTAGCTGACACATAGTAATCAGGATGAGAGTATTTAGTTTTTATTTTTATTAACTAAGTGAACACATGAATGAGCTATTTCAAAACCAGGAGGTGCAGAGAGGGTTTCACAAAGAACCAGTGAGACAGCTCATGTGGGACAACATTCTGCACTGGGGTGCAGAACCTCATTCTGGGGTTTTAGTGGTTCAACACAGTCATACCTACACATTTAGTGTACCATCATCCAAGCATTGAAATTAGTGCAGATCATTGCTCAATGTGGCGAATGTCTCTTCATTTCCATCTTGCAAACGCAGTTTTGGCCCTCCATATCAAATTCTAAAAACACACCTCTAGCTCCTGACTTTGATGGCCCATTTTGGACCCTTCCTCTAGTCTGACTTGTATGCAATCAGTGAAGCATCTTCTGCTCTGCTTTTAAATCTGCTTGTCACAGCCTGGGGTGTCAGGTGTCTGGCAGGCTGGGATCAAAGGGCTCTGATGATCTCTCAGTCCCCAGGAGAGTCAACTGTGTGTGACTGCACTGAACAGAAACAATGACATCTGAAATGTGCTATAGGTGCTATACTTAAGCCTGAGAGGTGGGGAAAATTTTCATTACTTTCCAAGCCTGAATAAATGAACAAATAAGCCTGTTTTTATGCTATGAAAGTAATGTATGCAATGTGCAAAATGCAGAAGAAAACTGTAGTGAAGAAAATAAGAATCACTTATGGTTTTACTATCTTGAGATACCTATTCTGAGCTTGCTCTCATTTAACCATTTCCCTGTATATATTTCTCTCTCTGTGTGTATGTGTATGCAATTAGAGTTATAGATAACTTCCTCCTTCCAGATATTCCCAACTCAGGCCAATGGGGAATTGTATTTCTTTGTGAAAGTCGCTCTCAGATTTTTAGAATAAAGATGCTATGCAGAAATTCCTTTCTGCAGCCATCTTTGCGGGGGCCACCTGTTCTATATTCTGAGTAATGCAAAGGAGGGTGCAGAGTTCTGTCCTTGGGTAAAACAGAATGAAATCACAGGATGGATTAAGAAGGATAACCTTTTAAACTTCTAGCTTTTCTTTCTTTCTTTCTTTTTTCTTCTTTTTTTTTTTTTTGGTATTACATGAAGATGCCCTTCACTCTGAAATCTTGGCAGGTAATTATCAGAGACCCCTTTTTAGGTTCCCCAATGTCTTCCCTTCTGGAGCACCAGGTTCCACTTTTAGTAGGTGCCCCCCTTTCTCTTGGAGATAATCACATCAATTGGTCTCTCGTTCCAGAGGGATGTGACCTAGAATCTGTTTTGTCTTTGAGAAATGAGGTCGCTTTTCTGGTGGAGGTGTCAGGAGATGGTGGGAAGCCCCAGGCTGGGAGAGGAGGTGCTTCTTGGTTCTTCCTGGTCACCTCCTGCAGAGGTGGTGACAGCTGGTCACCGAGTGACAAGGACCAGTCTGTATGGCTGTACCCCACCCTCCTCGATCCCCTGAAATGGCTCAGGCAACCATCATCAATGCCATCCTATAATTAGCAAATTCCATAGTTTCTTGTTCATTCTGTTCAATTTGACCTGCAGGTAGCATTTGAAGTTGTCAGCCCCCTGAAAGTCGCATTCTCTCTCTTCGTACTCTTATAACTTTTCTTTTCACTTCTACTCTGTGTCTTTCACTAGCTGGTCGTCTGCCATCTACCCCTAACATGCAGGGTTTTTTTTTTAAATTTTTTGTGAGGGTGAGTCAATCTTTAAGATGGCCTTGAACAGTCCCAATTCTCACTCTGAGTAATCCCCCCACCTTTGAGTGTGAGCTGGACTTAATAACTCAGTTCTAACCAAGAGAGAACATGGCAAAAGTGATAGGGTGGCACTTCTGAGACCATGTTTAGAGAGATGTTTTGCTCTATTTTACACTCTCTTCCACTTGTTCACTCTGAAGAAAGCCTCCTGCCGTACTGCGACCAGCTCAATGAAGCAGCCCACGTGCATAAAACTGAGGGCCCCTCTGGCCAACCAGGCAACCCCAGAAATTCTTGTGTGATATCCCACAAGGAAGTGTATCTGGCCAGCAACCACCTGAGTGAGCTTGGAGGCAGATCCCTCTCCCAGCGTAGGCTTGAGATGAAATGCAGCAGCCCTGCTCCACCTGACATCTTGTCTATAGCCAGCTAAGAGACCCCAACTGAGCCACAGGACCCAGCTAAGCCTTGCCCAGACTCCTGGCACACAGAACCGATATAATTATGTGCTATTTTAAGTTTCTAACTCTTAGAATAGTGCATTACCCAGAAATGGCTAACTCATACATCAGATTTCTGTAGCAAATTCAGCAATGGCTAATCAGTTTGACCTGGTCTTATGGTTACAGAGTCACACAATACTTGTGCTTTTGTGTCTGGCTTTTCTTTCACTTAGCATAATGTTTTCAGGGTTCATCCTTGTGGTAGCATGTAGGTGTGATTCTAACTTTGAACTAGGAAAGACATTGTCACCTGAAAAGCAACATTTTTTTTTTTTTCTGACACAGGGTCTTACTCTATCTTCGGGGCTGGAGTGCACTGGGTTCATGATAGTTCAGTGCAACTTCCACTCCTGGGCCCAAGTGATCCTCTTGCCTCAGCCTCCAAAGTAG